GCCAAGGCCCGGCAAGATCCTGGGGGAATCGCGTATACCGAAGGGTAGGAAGGAGAGAAAGGAGAGGAAAACGCGTAGTCGGAGAACGTTGGCTGGCAGAAGTTTTGTTCAAACACTCTTAGAGACGTGCTCCTTCGGCGGCGTTGCACGTGTACATGCATTCGACCCCGAAGAGGCGGGTACACCTATGCAAATAGGTAAGGTCGGGCCACAGGCCTTACCTATCTGTCCGCGTTTGTGTTCCCCGAAGTCCCGCTGACTCTTTGCAAACAATGTTGCCAGGCACGTCGTAAGAGCATAAGTAGCCGTGCGAGAGCGTGCCGCGATCCTGCCTTATCCGGCTTCGGATTTGATTACTTAAATCCGTGCGCGTGTATGTTTGTCTTGCCGAGTCTCGTCTCTCTCTCTCTCTCTCTTCTGCGAGGTATGTACCTCCGGTGTACCACAAGCTGATGTAATGCCTGATCGATTAACGGCACCGGCTCTCGCCGTTACTAACTCTCCTCTCGCTGCATCTTACAATAATACTGAATACTCTTGGAGCGAGATTATATGTGTTTTTATCTACCTGATTTAATTCTATCGATTCATTGTACATACGGAAAGATTTTATCGTGTATGTTTTACAATTTTCATGGAATTCGTGTACCAGAAAATTGTCATATTTTTGTGACAGCACTTTCTTTGACTTTCTTTCTTTCCGTTTTTTTTTTTTTTTTTTTTTTTTTTAACCGGATCTACGGAGCGATTGAATTCCAAAACGCGGACGGACAGGTGGTGCGCTTTCGATATCTCCAGTCATGCGATCGGACTCTTTCTTGCGTGGCTTGTTCCTGAATTCACGCGAGCGCGAATGCGGATGATCCGGGAGCATATTACAGCGGGAACGAAATAATTTCCTGGTGTCCTCCGCAGTCGCGAAGGACGAAGAACGGAAGCGAACTGGTCTTTCACAAAGTTTCTTGGACACTCGAAGAAGCTTCTATCTCTCTTCTCTCTCTCTCTCTCTCGTGCCGGAGAAACTGGCGGATAATGGTCCCCGGTAGACGGAGCGACCAAGTGATCCTTACGGGATAAAGGGTGTGTCGCACACGTACGTACAAAAGACGCCCGTCGCGCGCGTGTGTGTCGTATTTTCCTACAAAGACGAAAGGTATATATCCTCCCGGCTCCTCTCCACATGAAGAGAATTTCAGTGGAAAGACCACATCCATCCTTTTCGACTGTAATGATTGCGCCGCGCCGACGTTTCGCCCTTTGCTACGCGAAATCCGTGGCTCGTGCACTTTAATCCCTCGGTAAATGTCAGTTGATACGATCGAGCGTGAACACTCTCTGTCCGTAGCAACCGATTATTGTGGACATTATATACAGTTATCGAATATTGTTTTTTTCTTGATTTTATTTCTTTGAATATTGTTTGAATATTTTATTGTCGCATGTATGATAATTTTTGAAAAGTTAAATAAGTAGAACATCGATAGCAATCGATTATTGTGAATATTATTTGTGTACAAATGATCGAATATTTTCTTTTTCTTGATTTTAAATATTGTTAGAATATTTTATCGTCATGTCACTGTATGTAAAATATAGAGATACGTTTCATAATTTTTAAAAGAGAAATAAGTTGAATATGAACGAGAAATCTTTAATCCCTCGGTAAATGATCAAACGTAAATATATATCTCTTATTTGTGTACAAGTTATCGAATATTGTCTTTTTCTTTTGATTTTATTTTTTTAAATATCGTTTGAATATTTTATCATCGTATCGCTGTATGTAAAATATAGAGATACGTTTTATAATTTCTGAAAAGTCAAGTAAGTAGAATATGAATAAGAAATCGTGAAAATTATACAACAGATATATTATAATTTGATATAAAAATATCCCATCCCATAAATTTTCGAAACTCTGTCGAAAATCGCGCGAAATATCTCTGAACAGAAAGGATCCCGCGGATTTTCGCCATATCGCAATTGGCGATAAAAATGATCAAAACGAAGAAGTAGCGTTAACTCGCGAGAAAAGAAACGGAATAATAAAGAAACCGCAGTCCCCTCGTCGAAAGTTTTCTCCGCGCGTTTGAAGAAAAGGGAGATCCCTGCTTTTTCTTTCCTCCTTTTTTGCCAAGTCGCGCGAGTGTCCGTTCCCTTAACATTAAGTATAAAGAGGTGGATATCTCTTTCCCCGTTCGCGATATAATGGGGGCTCGCCGAGTTTCTCTCCGCCACCGAGAGTGCCACCCACCCACTTGGCAGCAGGGGCAACCTCGTGATCTCTCTCCGACCTACCCTTCTGCGGGAGAGTGTATAGTTGTGTGTATGTGGGTGCGTACACTAGCGACCAACCCAGAATCCCCCGCGGTCGAAGGCACTGGCCCGAGAAATTCAATTACTGCTAAACTTCTCGACCGGAGATTCTCCCCGGCTCGCCTATATACTACTGTAAGCACTCTGTTTCGAAGATCGGCCGGAGAGACATCTTACATTCTCTCCCTCTCTCGACCCGCAAAGACGTAGGCAGGCAGGTACACTTGGGATCGTAATTGAAACCAGGTGCGCCCGAGGGGTTCCCTCGTTCTCGTCTGCTGGGACAGTGTCTTCGTTCTTCGCGGTTTTTACTGTTTTCAATTGATACATCGCGGCATTGATGATTCAAATTTTGACAGGAAGAAGAGACAGAAATTGTTTGATAAGAGTCTTATGGAAAGTTCTCTACTGTCGCAAAGGAAAATGGGTCATTTTTCTTTTTGCAATAATTAAATTCACTCAATCGCGACATGTTTGATATCAAAAATGAAAAATTGCGAGTATCAAAAATAATACTGTAATGAAACAATGATTCGCAATTTTTTAAATCACTGAAAGTCATTTAAAATTGGTCTACAGATATAATTTGTTTATTAATATTGAACTCGACAGATTTACAAATGTGTGAATCAGCGAATTGATATGGAAGGGAGAATCAATTTCACTTTCAATCAATTCTTAATTACTCTTCTAGTTACTTTTGGAAGTTGAAGAACATCCTTTCTCTCACAATCTTTTTTTTTTTTCCTATTAGCGACAGAATCCGCGCTTTCATAAAGAAGCATCTCCGCCTCGAAGAAATGTTCGCTCCTGATATTCTTTGTCAACAACCGTTCGCCTTTTTTTGCACGCTTCGAATTCGCCTGTACGATCGTTATCCGACCTTGTGCTTTCCTGTCCATCCCCCTTTCTTTAAGCAATATAATGAAGAGTATATTGCAGCAAGTCCGGGTAAAATAAAATTTCCGTACAATAATAAAATATGCGGGCGTATAAAGGCGAATATTTTATAAAACTTGAACACAATTTTTCTAAAAGGAAAAATTTGACAATATATAATTTAAATTGGATTTTTATTCATATTATTCATGGAATTTTATTCATTTTTATTCTTTATTCTCTCATTTTTATAATAATTTATTTAAAATATATCTATCCTTTTCTTTGCAGAATCTATAACAAATAAATGCCAAATAAACGCGCTTTAGAGGATTTGTTCGGGAAAAGATAGATGTAACGAATAAAATGCAATGTATGAGCAGTTGAATGGATCGTTCCACGCACTTTTGTTACAAGCGCGAATCGACATGCGTGTAACGAGATGTCACGATACAGATAGATTTGATCAATCGCAACTATAACGAAGGGCAATCTCTTGCCGGATGTCACCGCCAGAGATAACAATAAAATGCAATTGCGAATGATAGAAAAGTGCTACATAAAATGGTCGTAACAAACCGATAATCGATTGCAGCTGCATTGTTATAAAGTTGATACTGGCCGAAAGAAAAAAAACTCATTTCCAGTAGATCAGAGATGTTCTCGTTGCACATTTACGTCACATTAAACGTCATTTACATTCCATCTAAAATTCTAATGAGTCACTAAAGACGTAGATGTATCAGACTCTAAATTAAGATTGCAAGATGTATCTTTTGTCGAACGAGCCAGCTATTTTTTGCAAAATAGAATCGTCGATGCCGGCAAAGAGGGCGGCAAGGTGCATTTATCAGAGAAACGAGAGGGCTTAGCCAGGGTCGCGTGTGCATTCCACTTAGGTCGTATTAGGGTGAGAATGAACCGTCGTCGGGAAAAGAAGTCCTCCCGCGGAAGGGTCGAACGATAAAGAATTAAAGACCGCCACTAACGAGAGTACGAAACTTTCGCCTCGAGTGGTATAATAAGGGCCCCGCGCGAGCCTCGCGGCCATTATTTACTTAACAACATTACGGGCCCCGGCGGCCACTTGGCCTACTTAAAGGCGTGGTACGCACGCTCCTAATGGGCACTCGCACTCACACTCGCGCCGTCACGCAAGTCACGCGTGTGCGTCGAACGCACATGCGCGCCCGCTTCTTGGTCGCGTGCCGCCGATTTTATTACCCCCGCGCGCGTTCACGCTAAATAACGATACGCTAACTTTCCTTTTTTGCGGTCTCGCGCAACGACCCCCTTTCTACGCCGACGAGCACTTCCGTCGCTTTTGCATTTACGTCGAAAATTACACGGTTTTTTTTTTTTCATGTAATTACAGTCGAAAAATTTTGACGAGTTTTGAAAAAGACCCGTGCCCAGTTTTATAGGAGAAAATTGGGTGAACAGCAATGAGCTAGAATTGTGAGTTCCCTAAAGTGCTAGAGTTCGCTATACCTATATCCGAGTTCTCTGCGTCGGATTGTACTAAATAATAAAAGTTTAGGATGTATATTTGGTAATAAAGCTAGAATTGTGAGTTCCCTAAAGTGCTAGAGTTCGCTATTCCTATATCCGAGTTCTCTGCGTCGGATTGTACTAAATAATAAAAGTTTAGGATGTATATTTGGTAATAAAGTTCAGATTTTGTTCCGACGGCGATGTCTCTGAAGGGGGTTAGGTAAAGCTTCAATTAGGCAATTGAAACCTTCTTCGGGGCCCAAACTGGGCACAGTCTCTTTGCAATCTAAATTGGAGCAGGATTGACTCACCGACGACGGCGTCGCTCTTCTCGACCTTGGGCTGCCGGTACTCGTCCTGGCTGGACCTCTTTCTCGGCAGGAGGCCGCACTCGGAGGGTTGATGCTGAAGCTGCGTCTGGATGTGCGCGGCGGCGGCTGCGGCCGCGGCGGCGGCAGCCGCGGGTATCGCGAGGCCCGCCGGACTCGCTACGTGCGCCGGGTGCGGGGGCGGGCTACCAGCTGGCGTCGCGCCGGCGGCCGCCGGTAGAACGGGAGCAGTGGTGCAGCTGCCGGTATTGTATTGCAATTGCAGGCCCAACTCGCGCGCCTCGCTCTCCTCCTGGGCCTGCTGTCGTCTCAGCGCGACCTGGAACAATCCGTTGGCCGGTTGTGAGAAGGGAAGATTAGATGGCAGGATTTTTCAATTATATATATAGGGAAGAAGAAAGTTTTCGAACGATTCCATCCCTTATTGTTCGTTTCTAGAGCGACTTAAAAAAATGTCACTCTCTGATTGTTATTCTTGACGAACCACGGAAATTGCTGCTAAAAGATAAACAGGTTCCCGATTGTGAGAATACACAACCTGTCTTCGCACAGCGATCGTGTAATCGGGAAATTTAATCAACCGAATTGACATTTCATATTTCTAGAGAGAATCGTCACAATATTATGTATATATGATTTGAAATCTCGTAATTGCAAATCAATATTATTTTTTATGTAATAAATTGTAAATTCGTGTCTTTGTATCAATCATGCACCTACATGATAATGTGATCGTTTTATTAGTCGAAGAATGTAAAAAAGTTAGGAGTTCGTAGAAATTTCGAGTGAAATCGAACCGGGCCGAATATAAGTCGATCGTACCAAGGGGGCTCGAAACGAAATCTCTGGTATAGTATTACAACCCCTGAAACGTTACATGAGCTGGTAATTTTATCTGATCTATGAGCCCTAACTCGATTTGTTGATGTGTTAAATCAGGAAACTGTCTCAAAATTACTGCTTTTAAAAAGATATCAAATAAGATTATCTTCAATCATCATCATCATAAACATCGATATAAAATACAGTAACTTAAATTGAAGAAGATTGTGGAAAGAGTGAAACAAATTAAAGGTACAAATTTCCTCTTTCACACGCTCTAAAAAATATAATAAGAGTATTAATAAGACTAACAGTAAGAAGCAAATGTAATTCGTAAATTCAAGTTTTTCTATTAATTGATAATTTAATTTTTATTCTATAATTCTATTTATCCATTCGTTACGATATAATTATGATATAATTTCGAAATCTCTTTGACATAATTATTAGATTAATTGACATTCATTTTGTTAATGAGATATATATTTTATCTCGAATATCTCATATCTCTTTAATAATCACGTATATTTGGCGAAAAATTGTACCAATGAGAATGCTTAAATAATATAGAGTTCTAATAGAATTGTAAGTCAATATATATCTTGATTTTTGCTGACACTCGCACTTTTCTTACATTTTAATTTAGATCGATGTAATCACGCTAATTTAGCGCGTTGCTACAAATACATCTACGACAGTTTCTATATTTATCCGTGATACCGAAAAACAGCGCAAGGTAATTTTTTTCGTACTCATCCCAATTTCAACCCACGAAAGTTCCTTCTCTAACGCAAATAAATGCCCGTCGACGATCGCCTCGAAAATAAAAAAAATTCAACACAAGTAATCCATGTTTCTCTAAACACGCATACGTTCTCCAGAACGCTTTGGGAAATAAATTCCTCCGTCTGCGAACCGGAGCAGATTCGCCCCCAGGATCTTACCTGAGCAGCCATGACGCGTTGCCTCTCGGCGATGAGGGTGCACTTGGCACAAACGCAATCCCGCCATCGGCAATAACGCTTGTGGCCCTTGAGCGCGGACACGACTCCGTGATTACGACAGCGCGCGCACTTGGGGGTCCGCTGATATCTCTCGGCACTAGCGCGCAGGAAGAACGCGGCCGGCAGCACGTGATGTTGCTGCTGTTGCTGCTGATGCTGCATCAGTTGGCCCACGTCGACGCCGAGGCCGACGCCACGGGGGAGCGACATCTCGTCCGTTGCTTTTTGACTCGTTAACTCGGCACTCGCGAATGATGACGATGACGATGACGATGATGATGATGACGATGCGATCACCGCGCGTCGCGAACCGGGCGTGAAACCGCGTACTCGACGACGCTCGCCCCCATCCCGGAGAGGACGATTCTGAGGCTTTCCCCGGGCGCGATCGGCGCACACCAACCGTATTCGTTCGCGGCGGCGCGGAATCGATACTGCTCTCGACTACACTGTGTGTGCCAGGACCCGGCGGATACCTAATACGCGCACCATCGTCGAGGCATCGCGGAATTCGACGTTTACCGTTCGAGACAAACGGATAAGGGATAGATTACGGTTCCCGGTTAACGCGCGCACGCGCCCGCACTCTCGTATAAGGTTTCGGTTTAGCGGCGACCGTCCGAGTGTCATGCATAGAACCGGAGAACCCGCGGGCACCCGCTCGTTCGGCTGTCGGGGCCGAAATGCGGAATCGCGCGGAACCCCGCGACACACTCTCGCCCCCTCTCACTCCCTCTCGCTCGCCGGCATTGTCAACAATTGCAGCATCCCGGGTGAGTCGATTCAGGTAGCGCGCGCGCGGATAGACAGAGAGGCGGTAGCGCGGCGCGGTATCGGCGGCAAAGTGGGAGCTCCACAAGGGGGCCGCAGTCGGCGGCGGTGGCGGCGGCGGCGGAGAGAGAGAGAGAGAGAGAATCCGAGGGGGAAAGCAGAGACGAAAACCCCCGGGGGAGGGATAGGGCAGAAACTAACGGTCCCCTCCACGCTTCGTGGAAACGCGAAATAAAACACTGTGCCACAGTGTTCCACCCCGGTGCCTCGGCCAAACGCGAGGCCTCGTTCGGATGCGACCACGCCCCCGTTTGCCGCCGATTGGCAGGCCTGCGCTGTACCAAACGGAGATGTTAAGAGTTTATATCTACCCGTGGAGTGAAAGGGGGACATACCTAGCCGCGTATCCACCTACCTATCACCCCCTGAAAGAGAGAGAGAGGGTGTAAGTGTGTACGACGGTTGTGTGTATCTTCCGTGTATGGCTGGTGATGCTGGTGATCCTGGTGATAGTGATGCTAGTGGCTGCGCTTGTTGAGGTAGTAGTAGTGGTGGTGGTGGTGGTGGTGCGATATACGGTGATAGTGCTGGTGTGGTGCGGCGAGATATAGCGGTAGTGGTGGTGGTGCTGATGGTGGTGGCAACGGACAAACACATTACTCTTTTATTTAAAACCCGTTCCGGCGGATAAAACACAATGCGGAGCGATGCTCAGACGTTTCTCCACGCTCCGCCTTTTGTTTCGGCCGACTGTTCTTAACCACGCACGCCTTTCGCGTTTCTGTCTCCCTCTCGAGAAACGTGTCCTTTTTCTTTCTTTTCCTTTCTTTCCTCCTCTCGTCGCACCGTATCTCGGTGTAATCGTCCTCTCTCTCTCTCCCTCTCTCTTTCTCCCTTCTTTCACCCCTCCTATTCCACCCCTTCGTCTCTCTATCGCTGGATACGGTCTATAAACCGCAACCAACACCGTCATCGTGACGAACCTTTTTTGAATCATATTGTACAATGAGATTTGAATGGGGCAGGGTGGGGAAGGGGGAGGAAGGGCCCCATTGTCGTTTCACCAATGGCGGTCGATTTTATAGTGATCTAATGTACAGATGTTATTTACCCCGCAATGAGAATAGAATAAAAGCATTGTAAAGCGTATTATGATTTGGATCCCCGTATCTCTCTCTCTCTACGCGTTTCTGCTTACCTACCTCTATATAATATATTTCTACCCTGCCTAACCAAACCCAAGTTACCTAACACGTGATATGCGTAATGTAGAAGTAGCGCAAAAGCCCCGCTCCCGTTTCCTCCTATTCGTCTCTAAGTCCAGAAAGTAACAATCGGTGGTGTCGGTTATCTCGAATAAGTACTTGGATATATACTTGTTTATGAATGTACAAATTGAGGGGTTCGTTCTAAAAGGGGCGTATAAGTAATAAAAGTGGCATTCCCTCTCTTTAGAGAGACAGGTTTTGTATATATATATATATATCATAGACGTGTAATTTGTAAAACTGGTTCTTCGAGAATAAAGTTGTAAAGATATAGAAAGAACGCAATTTCGTTTGAATATACATTTCATATATTTTCATTTCATACGTCCTTTTTCGGGCGCGAAGCGGGAGATTAATTATTATGAGAAAATACAAACGTGTTATTTATCGCGATGTCATAACGCGTCACGCGCAATCTCCACTCGATCAGATTATCCACATTGTAATTTAGCAATATCGATAGAATTGAAATAAAATACACGAGCCGCGCGAGCGTCATCGAGAATGTCACACACGAGGGTGCGTAATAAATACAATCGCGACTGCACGCGCGGGGGATCACTTTTTTATTTGTCGATGACGTCCGAGCGCGCGAGGGTATTTTTCATTTGACGGCGCAGCAAAATTTGAGCAATAATAAAAGTATTCCGAACGTATTCGTTGACGTGATTCATTCAATATATAACAGCACAGACACGGACCTTTTTTACTCTCGCACATCGGCCACTCAAAGCGAATGTACGCGCCCGATGGGGAGATCGATAAACCAATAGGTACGCCAATACATGCCCGCTTTTTAAAGAGTATACTCCTCGCACGTACGTAAACCCGAAATGCAAAATCCGGAGAAGAAACCATATCGGAACCGAGAAAAAAGCATCGCGCGTCCATCGCGGAAATCGCGATAACATATCACCATTAGTTTTTTAGCTGTTTCTATATATCACCTGAAATTTAGTTATCGTGTCTAAACTTTAGCTATGGTTTAACGAAGAATTTTACAGCTAAAAAATATTAGCCATCGTAGCTCAAATTTATAGGCATGATAACTATAAATTTATTCATGTGTAATATATATAGGATCAACTAAAATTTAGCTATGGTAGCTAATTTTTTTCCGTGGATAAACTTGAAAGTATCGTCTATAAGAGGTACAACTCGCGATGGAGAAGAAATGCAGAGGGGAAAAAAATTATCGCGATCTCTCCCACGGTCTTCGATTCTTCTTGCGCCGACAAAAACATATTTTACGAGAGTATCCGATTTATCTTTGATCTTCGAGTGTGGAGCATTGTTGCGCCCACACGCACTCGAGATTTCCCCGCAGGTTGTGTACTTACTACCCTTGGGTAAATAGGGCGATCGAGATCGAGATCGCGGCAATATCACGTTACGATGTTTGCAAACGTCGTGTTGACCCCGCGACACTAGACTCCGACCTTTGGTCGATCGGATGAAAAGCCGTACACAGCGATCGGATAATCGAGATTAGATTATAACCGCCACGTAAGAGCCGCAGGTACAAGAAATCGCAGGTAAGATAAGAGGCGTTTGCGCGAGATCTGCTTCGATCTCTTCGCTTTTCTTCTTCATATACAGAATTTACAAAGTAACTTTGTCCGATGGATGCGATAATGCGAGAGAGAGAGAGACAGAGGAATTCTATGTAAACCCAATATACACCTGTTACACAAGGGACGGTGAAATGATAAATTGTTGGCATAGATTTATTTCATTAACCCACATCAACACGCTAATATTCACATAATTTTTAAATCGATTACAAGCGATAGGGAGCGTGTAAAATTTCAACCGCGAAAGACAAATGTATATGATTATTATTATTTATTTATTATTGTGCAAATTGAAGAATCGATGATACTAATGATCGGAACGAGGATGTAAAGAATATTCCTCAATTTCTTTCAGAAGATCTTCATCGACAGTCAAAGGGTATTTAAAATCGATCAGTTTTTCTCGGCGATTGTGTTAAGATGATTGGATTCGCTCGTTAGCCGTTCTACGTTGGATAACATCATCAGTGTGTATACATGACACACACACACACACACATGTATATCAATGTGTATATACATCCTAACACCGCCGTTATCGGGTCGGGATGAAACGCGCGCGATCTACCGCGCCGGTGAAATACCGTATGACTTTTTGACGTGCTTTTAACAGATTGAATTGAAAATCTCTCTCTCTCTCCCGATATATCCGCCATCGGGCGCGCATATCCATATCCCGAACCGAAACGACCGAACGGACAGACGAGGGAGACATGCGAGAGAAAGATATATAATTCTTCCACCTCTTCTCCTCTCACCCTTTCTCTCGCCACCCTCCGTCGCGCGGAATTCTTCTTTTCTCTTTTCATTTTTGCACATTCGCTGATGCGGCACATTGCAAGCTGCGCCGGCGGAAACGACGTCGGGAGGGTTCACCGGGAAAGAGGGAGGATCGGTCAGTCTGCGGGAGGAGAGGGCGAGCAGAAATAATGTCCCGGCTCATTTTTTAAAGCCCCCCTTTCCTCACCCCCGGGCGGAATCCGTCGGTGGAGTGGTGGTCAGGATTCTGCGGGAACAAAAAAAAGTGACGGACGCGCGTATGTAGAGATATAGATGTGCGCGCGGGTGCGATATTACGGCGCAATAGCCCGGCACAGGGTGGTCGATCCGGTCCGTCGCCGGATGTGAAACGGTCAAAGCTAAAAAGCACTCTCCGCCGAAACGGGCTATATATTATCTGCAACCCTTCAAACACAGAACGCCGCTCCGCGAGGATCCATACATAACGTATAACGTGTGCGTAAGCTCCGACTCGCGATTTCTACGGGGAGAAGCCGTTTCTCTATATGTATATATGTATATGTACGCCTTTACTTGAGTACTTTAATTGTGGCGCACTCGCAATTCTTTACCCCCTTTCGTTTGTATTTTTGTCTTTATACCGAGGAGTAACTCCTTCGAGACTTTTTGTGTCTCACGCATATTTGTTACAAAATTCTTTATATTGTTGCATATTATCAAGCTTTCTCAGCTGTACAAATTGATTATTAAATTCTCAATTTCTCTGGAGCAGAAAAATCACCGATTTATACAGGGTGTATCTGCCTAATTATATAAGTGCGAACAATTTTAAGAGATGATTCTTTGTCGAAAATTAAGGGAGGTTTCTTGTATAAACATGTACTCTTATATTCTTCCCTGAGGAATTGATTTGCTGGATATTTTCTGCTTCATTTTTCTAATTTGTCTGAAATTTGAAGAAAAAAAACTTAATTTTTACCTCCCTCTTTAGGAAATGTAACTTTTCAGAGAAGGATATGAAAGCATGTGTTTATAAAAAAACCTCCCTTAATTTTCGACAAGGAATCATCTCCTAAAATTTTTTGCACTTATTTAGATACATCCTGATGTATATTTGTGTGTTTTTCTTATTACATGGATACATTTAAGATAATAAAATCATTTATAAAAACCCTTATTTTATAAAACAATTTTGCCTATAGGAAAATTAAAGAAAATTAAAAATTCAAAAGATGCATCCCTATATCAATTTTCATCGAAAAAAGGATTCAGAATATACATATATTAATTCGTTTAATCTCGCGATAAAACTTTCGTTATCGATTTTATTCACAGCGACGATTGTTATTAATTGATCTTCATTTTTCAATTATTCCAAAAATGGCAGTGTCGACTTAATCTACGTATCTACATATATGCATATAATAGTCGCGTGTTACGGAAGGGATGAAATGGGCGTGGTTTTGAGGGGTTGCGAGTTCTTGGTTACGATCTCATCGGCCAATGCGGGGCCGCTTTAGCATCTGGCAACTGTTGCAAACGCAAGCGCCGTCAAGTCTACCTTTGCACGAGCTCGCTATAGGTCGCCGTATATTGGATGCTGGATGCAGCATCGAATCTGACGACGCACATACAAGCGCAGACTCGAATGCTGTCTTCATAAAGAAAACAAATAAGAGGGCGAGAAAGAGAGACACAGAGAGGAGGAGAGACAAGACTCCACCGCGCAATCCGACTTTAACTGGTTTCTTTACGTTGTGTAATTATTTTGTTCCTGTTGGTTTATTCTTGCCCTATATACAACAGATTTACATAGACAGTAAATAGGAAGACATGTGTATGCATTTACTTTCCTATATAAATTTTGACGATTGCATACATTAAATATATAATGCATATGCAATGTTCAAAGTATTGGCTTTATTTTTTCCAAAATTTAGCTTAAAAGCGGTAATTCAATTTTTATTTCGCATTTATATTAAATGTAAATTAACTTTTCAAATTCTATTAAAAAATATAAAAATGTCATTCAAGAGAGATAATTAATATTTCATTATTATCACAAATTATATATACTTATACATCGCGTATATCTATTAAATATACATTATTTTATTTTTTTTTGCTTGTTTTTATTAAAATGTAATTTAATTGATTTAATTTATGAATTTAAAAATTTTAGACATTTACTGTATTCTTTAGACATTTAATATTCTAAATTACTATTTACCATTATAATTTAAGAAAATGCTACAAATATATATGTATAGCAAAATGAATTTATTTTCCCCAATATAATTTCAAGTGACAGTGACACATATAATCGCGACTGTCATCTAATAAAAAAAATAAGATTTACTTCTTTTTAGCCTCATCAGCAACAGTTTCGACCGATGATTCTTCCGAGCAACGTTCCAACGCTAAAATCATACTATCTATTATTTGACTTGTGCTGTTGTAGAAATATTTATATTTATTGTCGGCCTTCGGATGACGATTATAAATATCTTCCATAAATTCGCCGTCCGGAGTGAAGAAGAGAATTCGCGGAACGTATGTTCCATCTGGTTGAAATCTCGCTTCGTCTTGCGCGGGAATCTCGCCTTTCCTCGCATCCACCATGACGAAACTACATATTGTTATGCGAATGATCAATTCGATAAAAAATCTTATTATATAAGCATTTTATTTTAGCTCTCTGTCACTTGGTTGCTAATTTTTAACAGTTGTACTTGTCAAATTTAGAGTTTCAGAAAACCCTATACATATTTATACTTATTATAATTCGAGATTGTCGATATTTGCATATTTTTATGAGAATTATTGGTGTCTTTGAGAATTGATATTTTATGAGAATAAATTTTATCTCATATTATTCATTTTTATATACATTCTTTACCTTTTTAATTAATTAATTGTAAAATAAAATAAATATTATTTTCTATAAATAAAATATACATATAATCATGGGCATCTACAGAATTTTTTCCAGGGGAAGGTCTTAATTAAATTTTTGTTTTTCCCTAATTTTTTTTTAATAATTTCTAGCAGTATTTATTCAATAGAAGAGCAAATTCTTCATTTTTGTACTGATTCCAAGGGGGAGCAAACATCCCTTCTTGCCTTCCCTTGCCCATTCATATAATATGATTTAGGTTTAATAGCGCGCGCGTTAATAATCGCAGAAATGATAAGGAAAAGATTTTAGAAAGAAAGATGCACTCACTGCTTGCTGAGATCGAGGAGCCTGATGGAGTTGATGAATTTAGGCTTGAGTTTCTCGCAGGTGGGACAGCCTGGTTTGTGGATCAGGAGAAAAATCGGCTTCCTGCAGATCTTCGCCTCTCGAAAACCATCCCGCAGATTCTTCCATTTGTACATGTGGCCGAAGTAATTCGAATCGTCGTTGGCCACAACTGCAGTCCCGAATATGTAACACGCCAAAGTGGTGAAGTTCTTGAAACCAAGACGCTTGGCATAACGCATGATTATAATTTTCACGAAGAAATGTTTCTTCCTTTTTCAATTCAATCGCCACTGATATCAATTTGTGACGTGCGTGCGGGACGCGTGCGCGATTTAAAATTCCCGAGAGACGCCAACTTCGCGCTTAGTTTCCGAAACACACATCGAGCGCCATCTGACGGCAAAGTGACAGTACTATTATGACAGGAAAAAATCAGAAGATGCAAAAAAAGAATATAAAAAAAAAATGAATTTTCTCATTTCTAAAAACGGAATCGTCTTATTATATAAACAATTTTGTACATACAAAATATTAAATCAGTCGATAAATACTAAATTCTGACATGCATAAAATGCGCATGCGTTTAAAGGACAAAGCTACCTCTCTTTACTCTCTCTCTTGTGGGCACGTTTTTTTTTACAAGTCAAAAATATAGTTGCGAGAGTGCATTTCGATACGTATGTACAGAGTTTAATGGTCCAGTCATCTTCTTACATGTTTCTCGACTCCGTGACGCAGACAGGCGTTTGACAGAAGAGAATGGAGTCTGTCTTCTAGGCAAGTGCGCGCGCGTACAGTTTTCGTTAATTGCACTTGGACTGTTAACCCAAACGTGTCAATTTCATGGAAAATATTACGACGTCTCGAGATTGCGGTACACCGGACGAAGCTGCATTCGAAGATCTCGGAAGATCTAGAGTACAAAATGAAGCCTTTGATCGAATTCGAAGAATGTTTACGAGATACACCGAAATTTCGGTATATAATACATCTGTGCCTCTCCCTTCTATCATTATTTTTTATACAAAGAACATTGACAGTTCTATATTATATATTTCATCTTGGTTATTCTCATCTTTGTCAATTTATAGTTGTTTAAATATTGATTTTATCTACATTTTTTTGTAAATACGTATAATTTTGTAAAATAATATGAACTTTACAGATCCTGTATCGAAGAGGAGGAGAAGAATATAGATCAACTTGAACAAAAATTAGATAAGGTATTGTACAATATGATGACTCACAAGCATGCATTTAATCTCTAACTACTAATTAAATTCTTGTAGCACACAAGTTTTTCATTATTTAAAGATGATAAAAAATAATGCATACAGAATGCACAAAAAAATAAGAATATGTATAAGATATGCAGAATATACAATGTTATATGTTTAAATAACAACAAGAAAATATTTTCTTATTTACATAAGTATCTTTTATTATATCTTGATATGTTATTTGTCTTTGCTTTCATTGTTTATTAGGTGTTGAAGAATTGCAGCTTAACCATTGACACTGGAAAAGCCTTTGTTGGACAGCAAAAGTAAGAGTCTGATATATTTATTTATGCTTCAACTATTGCATCAGTATTATAATTGTCCATGTAAAATGTTAAAATTGAAAATATGAGTATGAAGATGAGATAAATTTAGAAATTATTAGCATGTAAATACTATACAAATGTTTCTTTATAAAAAAGACTAATAATTTTGAGTTATTAAAAATTATATTAGTATTATTTTTTTTATTTTATTTTAAAATTTATAAAATCTCAATGTTTAAAACATAGTCTTTGTCTTATACATTGTAGATTTTTACTTTTATACATTTGTAATATATGTATATATTAATGATGATTTTATTTTCTTCAACAGTCAGTTTGCTAATAGTCTATGGGAGTTGTCTACGTACTTTGGTGATGATCCCGAAATAATGGCATTCTTAAATAAACTTATTCATGCCTTGCAAGAAATGAACAAGTATCACACTATTTTGTTGGATCAAGCTTCTAGGACTGTAATGAAAGATCTTAATAATTTTATTAAATGGTGAGTCACGCATATCGTCGCATCTAAAGTCGACAGACTGGTTTAAGTAAAGTTTTATCTTGCATTAAATTTTTCCAGTGACATCAAGAGAGTAAAGGAATCTCGGCATTATTTTGAAAGAATTTCTGGTGATCTCGACATTGCGCTAAATAGAAATTCTCAAGTGCCGAAATCTCGGCCTGCAGAATATGAAGAAGCGTCGAATATCCTGTCGGCTACTCGATCGTGCTTCCGACACACTGCGTTAGATTACATTCATGTATTGACGATGCTGCAAGCGCGCAAGCGACACGAAATATTAGGCACGTTGTTGAGTTATATGCACGCATGTATCACTTATTATCATCAAGGTAGCGATCTCGCCCAGGATCTAGATCCGTTTCTGAAAGATCTCGATGAAAACTTAGTCAAGATGAGGGGTGATTCAAACAAACTTGAAAAGGAAATGGAAAATCGGCACATCTATGTTAATAATCGAGATCTGATTCCGTCTCCGGTACCTGGCAATCCCAAGATGGAAGGATACCTATTTAAAAGGACCAGTAATGCTTTCAAAACCTGGAATAGGAGGTGGTTTTGCTTAAAGGATCACCAATTGGTATATCGGAAACGAACAGGTGATGAAGGCTATACAATTATGGAAGAAGATCTGCGATTATGCACTGTAAAACCTGTGGTTGACTGCGAAAGGAGAAATTGTTTTGAAGTTTTAAGTCCGGCAAAGTAAGTAGATGCATATCATTTATTTACTGTTTCCTGTAATAATAAATGAGAGTTTGTTTGCAGACATAAAAAAAACTTGTTTTCTAATTTACAGGAGCCACATGTTGCAAGCAGATAGCGAAGAAACATATTTGGCTTGGGTGACTGCTATGCAGCAAGCTATCGGTGCTGCCATTCAGAGAGGTATGAGTATAGGTTCTGGTGTTAATCCACACGAGTCGCAATCACGCGATAATAAGGGTCCTGTGAGAAGATTAACAAAACCAAGATCGAGGTAATTAATAGATTTTTATATGCCATTGGTTTATGTTGAATGGGTAAACTAATTTTAATGAAAATTGTTTTAATTTTAGAGTATGGGAACAGTTATTAAAGATCTCAGGTAATGAAGTATGTTGTGATTGTGGTGATGCTAACCCAAGGTGGGCCAGTATCAATCTAGGCATTACGCTTTGCATAGGTAAATTACATTCCAAAATATTACACTAATATACACTGTCGCTTATAATATTGTACATTTAATGTCTTTGATATTTGTACAGAATGTTCTGGTGTACATAGAAGTCTTGGAGTGCACTATAGCAAAGTTCGCTCCTTGACTTTGGATGATTGGGAACCAGAAATATTAAAAGTGATGGCAGAATTAGGTAATTCTGTTGTAAACAGTATATATGAGGCTCTACCTATCCCTTCCGACATTACTAAAGCTACACCAAAATGCAATGGGTATGTAATATCATGGTGAATTGATTATTTCTCTTTTAACGAGCAAAAATATTTGTATTACTATATCTCCTTTTCTCTAGTAATATTCGGGAAGCTTGGATAAAATTGAAGTACGTTGATCGTAAATTTGTGAAACCTCTGACTGACGTGATATCAACCAGGCATCACGCCAGTCGAGATCAAAAGCATTTTCGAAAATGGAGCGTGCGTAAATTACGTCGCAGACCACGCAGTTGCGATAATATCGATAATAGTACTCGCAATAAAACGATGTTGTTATCCGTAAAAGAAGGTCATCATTCAACGAGTTCTGACGATAGCAAGCACACGTCGATTGATAGCTTGAATTCTGTTGGAAAAGCGAAGAAGACTGAACGGAATTCAGTAAGTTCGGATGACAGCGCTAACGTAGATTTGAAAAATAACTCTACTCTCTATGGAAAGATCTTAAATCGTTCGCAAAACGATATGAACGATGGTAATAAACATGTTATTAAAACTACCGCAGCTAGTGGAGAAGCTGCAAGCAGCGAATCAACGCAAGATAGTAATCTGTTAGAAAGAGAAGACAAAGTGAATTTATCGACAACGAATACTAGTACACCTTCAGTTGGCGAAACGGATGACAGTTCCAGCAAACACACCGATGATACCAAAGACGATAATAAAAACGTTTTGGAAAATACAGATCGAACAGAGAAGCACTGCAATGAAAAAACAGAATCGGATATATTAATGTTCGGTTGCGACGTACCAAAACCGATTATGGACGGCAACTTAGAATTGAGCTCCGACCAAGATTCAACGGCTGGTGAAGACGAAGAATTTACCGATGAAGAAGATATCGAAAATCTACATCCCGAGCTACTGCTTTACAAGGCTGCAGCGGCACACAATTTGCCCGTAATGTGTGCGGCATTGGCAGCTGGTGCTGACAAATTATGGTCCAATGTTAATGATAAAGACCGCAGCGCGTTGCACCAAGCGATAATAAGTGTATGTACTAAAAAAAACCTTTATATAATTTATATATTTTATTACAATATTTACTCTTGCTCAATTTTGTGCAAAAACAACTGCAAAGTTGATAAGAATTACCAAATAATGACTGTGCTTTTTCACAGGGGTCTGTCATGTCGTGTGAATATCTTCTTTTGAATGGCGCGCGAATTAATTGTCAAGATGTCGAGGGAAAAACGCCATTACATTTAGCAACAGAATTAGGTATGGGCTAATAAATTACAAATTATTTTTTTCTATATTTCTAAAATACAAGATGAATCATAGGCGTCCAAAGGATTTTTTCCAGGAGGGAGTATAATTAAATTTTTTTTATTTTTATTTTTATTTTTTTTTATATTAAATATACAAATAAATTCTAGTGTTTATTAAAAAGGAGAGCAAATGCTTAATTTTTTTTACTGATTCTAAGGGAGGGCAAATGCCTCCTCTCCTGTGGATGCCCATGATATGAATTTATTCATATTTGTATATACAGGACATACTGCCCAAGTGTGCTTGCTTCTGAAACACCGTGCTGATCAACACATCGAAGATGAAAGCGGAATAAAACCGTTGTCAATCGCTGTAAAAGAAGCAAATGCTGATATCGTTACTTTGTAAATATCTCGCAATAATTTGTATGTTTACATATTTTAAAATATTTTATTTTATTACATCAATTTGTGTATTTCAGACTACGGCTTGGCCTGCTAAATGAAGAAATGAAAGATTCTGAGATAGGCGTCACAGGCGATGAAACATTCAATGACGTCGTTCGTGATTTCAGCCAGTTGGCTTGCTCGCATCCGGAACGACTGCAACGTCGAAATGAAACCACGAATCTGCCACATATGTCTGAATGAGGTTTACATATTCTCATATAACTATTTACAGAGATTTACGCACGCGAACAAATAATATCTTGAATATTAAATTTGCAAAAGTTATTGCAAAGTATTGATTGATTATCACATAAATGTGACTGAGAAAATAGATAACATCTAGAATCATTTCACATAAAAACATCATCATTATATTCCTTTTATTTTCATGTGTAGGAAACTATAATTAATTATCTTGACATTTAAAATAATATTACATTCTCTCAATTTCTGATATATTGTTTATTATAATAATTTATATAATATTTTTAAGAATTCAAGAATTAGAAATAGTTTCAGTTCCTTTTTATTTATGATTTTTGACTCGCTATATACATATAAAGATTTTTAAAAATTTACACATACAGGATTTTATATATATATATCCATCAGGTCACTATGAATGATTACCAAACATGTAGTGTAAAAAGAAACGTATCGCTGACGATTTTTTGCTAATTGCTTATCGCATATGAGATTTATTCTTAAAAATAAGTAATTAAAATAAAATTAAACTCAAGAGCAAAGATAAGACAGGTATAGCATGCGTTACATGAATATATATATACATATAAACACGCACAAATATTTGTTTGAGTCGCGTTACATCGAATATTTTATTATCATATATGGATAAACGTTGAAAATTATATACATATACATAATGGCCTAATGAAGGATAGAATTCTAAGAGAGATTTTCTTAGATACACATCTTTATATCTTTGTATACTTGCATGATTATTATTTTCAATTTAAATCAATTTAGTTATATATAATCGACAAATTGTGTGTAGAAAGTAGCACGACATAAACACAACAAACCATCGTCTCGTTAGAAAAAAGAAAAAAAACGTCAATGTAATTTGTTAAAATAGGGCAGTATATAGTTACGTATTATATAATTAATTATATATGCTTTTCAAAATAGATAAAATATTTTTTCATGTATTTTATTGTTAATCTATATATTATATAATGAAAAATATAAGAAAAATGCAAGTTTTATCAAGTTGAAAAATTTCTATGTGTATATAAAACGCAAAAATTGATCTGAGATTAATTTCTACATATTTTTAATTAATAATTCAATTTTATAAAAGAAAGAGTTGTATGATGCAATAATTGCGCAATATATCATGAAAAACTAAAAAAAAATAACCAAAATTTTAATCAAACACTTCTTAACTTATCGAGAAAATAAATAATGCAATTTTATTTGCATGATAATATAATATAAATATTTGCCAATGTTTTGTACTATATATGCATGTTTTTTTATGCATTATATTTATAATTAACATAATAGTATGTCAATAGGATAGATAATATGCGCAAACACATTCCCAGTACATTGTATCAATATTATAACTCTATTTTTTGTATAACAGTTAAATATGAGAAAACACAATTCTCATTTATATTTTTAAGCTGTTATGTTAAATGGTGCGTGTTATAGATATCAACAAGAGTTTTAATTTAAAAAAAGTAATTTGTGTAGTAATTATTTTCTTAATTAATTTTAATCAATTTGTTGTAATTACTTTCTTTAATTAAAACTCTTGTTACAAAAAAAAAATATTATAAATGGTCGATATGATAAAATATATGATGCAACTTTTTGATTATGCGATCATTGTTAATATATATATATATATATATATATATACATATATATATTTATATATATTAATGTGTGATTTCAATGTCGCTATTAATTTATCATGTTGGCGAAAACGTTCGAGTCGCGCAAGAGAGAGGGAGAAAGAGAAAGAGAACCAATTAAAGTAGATAAAATATATATATATACATTTTAAATTTTGATAAAGATATATGGCAGATGTATTAATGACGTGCAATTTATATATTCATAGTGACTTTTACAATTTGATAAAAGAATTTTATTGCAATGATCTTTTTATTATTTTATAAATATTACAAGTACAAATATTATTCTTTTATATATATGTATTTAATATACAAATAAGAAAGTTTCAATACTATTGCGCGAACGCATATTTGTATTTTGTACTTATTAAAATATATGTAGTTTCTTGTAATCTCTGCGGATGTATCGTTATTGTAAGTTTAAAAAAATATTAAGCGACTCGATTGATCGTTAATTGAAAAATATATTGTACGAATTATTTTTTTACAAAGTTCGCCCGCATAGATATGTGTGTAGGATCCATTGAAACACTCTTGCCACACAATAAAGAATCTTGTTAAAATTATTCAAATTCTATTTTGTTACATAATAATTTTTTAGTTCTATAATATCATCATCAATTTGAAATTTAAAGCGACATAACTCGCTATACGATTTGCATGGAATTGATAAAAGAAATACATAGATCTTTGTAACAAAGGAAAGAAGAGAAAAAAGGGAGAGAGAGATTTGGATATATATATACGATAAATATAGATATAAAAAATTGTGATTTTGCAATGTATGATATATCGTGTATAAAGTTTATATAAAAATGAAAATTAGTCTCATAAAAATTCTTTGCCCATTATATTTAGGTTCTACTCTATCTTTTCAGTATTAGGAGACATACTTTTATTCTGGGCCACAACAGCTGAAATGAAACGTGTTATTATTATAGCTGTTCTTTCAATATCTACTCTTACATAACTTGATACTCGTTATTCGATTCTCAAACTAAGCGTGTTTTTATTTTACGATTTTGAATGCATCACAGAAATGCACCGTAAAACAGAACTCATCACGCACATTGAAGGGAGCGCAAATATCGTCGATCAAGAAGTCATTGATGTCAACGCCAAGAAAGAAAAACAACATAATTTTATTTTATAAAAAGATATACATATATTTACACATATGGTTTTACTTTGACGACTTTTTTCTTAAGTATAATTTTATAATATTATTTTATCTTTCTGTGATAAAAGCCCAGTCAACCATATCCGAACAGACTTCTGCCAAATATCTGTTACAAATTTCTCAAAGGTTACAAATTCAGGTCAAAGTGTTAATTTCGATTATGTCAGTAAAAGCAGAGCCTGCTGACATAAGCATAGATCTTGCTCGATTTTTGCTGTCAGATATTCTTCGAAAAAGCAAATCCTTGATGGAAATGCTAATTTGCCAGCAATTTCTGAGTCGCAATCTGTTATCAACCTGCTGATGTATTTTATTTATTGGAGAAGTTTTAATAAGAAAGATATTACTATAGATACAAAGAGAAGGGAAGAGAAAAAATAATTGAAAAAAATTCATTTTTATTTTATCTCTGTCATTTCCTCTGCATTTCGGATACTCGGAAAAATCTAGAATACTTAAGTTTAATCGAACGGATGTCAATGCTTCATCATGCGTCACGATTATCGGTTATCGTGTGCGTATACATATGTCACGCATGCATCAAATTTATCAACCAGCCTCTTTTCTTCTTTCTGCTTTCTTTACAACAAAGGGACTCGCGATTCATCCTCAGCGTATAAATCGTACATTCATAATATCATATTGGAAAATTTATTGTATCCGAGGCAGAGAGATTTCAGATATGTAATTCTCTATTTTTCCCCCTTCTACTAAATATCGCATATTTATTATTTAAAATTTTTCTAATAAAAAAAAACGAAATATCTCATTTTTTCATATTTGATAAATAATTATCAGAGTTGGGTAAGTTGATGATTTTTTAAAACCAAGTTAAGTTAGTTGTGCTTAAAATTAATTTAGTTAAGTTAAAACTTGCATGAATAAAATTAATTTAGTTAAAGTTAAATTAAGATTAAATTAACTGAAATTAAATCAAAAGTTAATTTTGAAAAACATTATTTATATTAAATATATTTTTGGTAATTATAATTGATGACAAATGAACATAAAAATTAATAATACTTTAATTTAAAAATAATGATATTCATAGAGATAAAAAAATAACTTGTTGAAGTTAAAAATTAATACATTTTAAATTAACTAAGCTAAAAGTTGAAAATTATCAATTATTTAATTTTTTTTAACTTTTAACTAATTAACTATAGTTATTACTCAACCCTAATCATTATATACAGATCATCGTAATCAAGCGATCAACAAACGCGTATTATCGAGAGAGATTTTAACAAATCTATGCGTTTTCCTTTGAAAAATACGAGGTTGAAAGAATCGCCGAGTAGTATAAGCTGAAAACTCTAAATGAGCCGAATAAAAAAGTGCGTAGATCCGCACTTCATGTATTCGCGCCGGTCGCGGAATGCTAAAAGAATGTCACGCGAGAAGAGTAATAAGTATTCATTAGAGCTTACGCATTTGCTTTGCACAATTGCAGTCCTCGCCCGGCTCCCGATACAAGTGTCGCTTATCAACTCCCGTACGTAGTATCAATCGTGACTGCTGCAATATATTGTGCGCAAGTTCACTGTGTTTATTTTTTTCGGCGTCATTGATCCATTATCCATGCCATGGTGCCGTGGCTGTTCATTTTTTTCCTGCTTATCTTCATCACAAGCGTAATAAAGCAATGCGATTAAATTTAAAAGCTACTTATTCGGACACTTCAAATTTCATTTCTCTCAAATCGTCGCTATAAAACAAAATTTCGATACATATATATATATATAATAAATTTTGATAAAAATAATTATATAATAATAAATAATAATATAATTACAATATTAATAATTTTAATAATATAATATTTGAATAATTTTATATAATATATATTTAAAGGAAATCTAACACAGAATTTTTCGCAATTTCGAAATCTCTTAAATTACAATGTAACGAAGGAGATTATGGTTTTATGATAGTAATTCATTATCATGGATAAATAGTTTCATGATAATTGTGAAATATTTCAACAAGATTACAGCAATATTGCACAATGTATTTACAATCATCTTTAAGCGTTTCAGCAATGTTTCTGCAGTCTTATACTGTATGGGAAAGAAAAAGAAGGGAAGAAAGATCGATATATCACTACCGATAACCCAACGTGCGTGAATGATCTCTTCTTCCCGAACTAATACAAAGTCGACTAGAATATACACGTAATCCAGTCGTATCGCTCTAGTTTTAATAGTATTTAATGTACGATATGCGTGTTTACTATGCGAACGAGATACGTCGCGCGAGAGATACGTAAGTTTATCCAATCAGCGATACTACACCGATAAAAAGCGCACATGTCTGAATGAGCACCGATAACATGTTTCAATGGAAATTCCAGATACGATAATTAAAAATGGAGAACGCGG